ATAGGATTACACGTTTAGAAATCACCTATGTGAGTGTGAAGTGTAAGCCGCTTCAAGGAGAATGAAAGTAAAGGCTCATTCTCTAAGCACTCATGAAACTAGGCGGTGTTCATGGCTGAAACGAACACAACCGTGAGAACCATAGATGGTTAAGGATTGATTGTGTGACTTATGTTGTCTAGGTATACAACAAAGCTCGACGGTTCAAAGATATCAAATCTACCGATTGACCGAGTATATCCGATATAAGTTCACTACGGAAAGTTCAAAGGGAAACCTACTTATCCAGATGCAATTAATTCTTGCATGTAAAACACACACGCGTCCGTGCATTCCTTTATTTTATAGCCATTCCCCATTCATGTGGGGGATTGTTGGGATTTTAAGCTTGTGTAGCTTAAAGAGGGTGAATGAGAAATGGAGGGAAAATAAAATATTTGAGTTTCCCTTGGGAAAGGGACATTGTCCCATATCGGAGGAAGAAAAGGCTTTTGATGGGTATATATATAATTGCTCTTCTTCTAGCTCTTAAAGAGTTAATAAAAAGGCAAGCCTCGCGCCGTCGTCGTCGTCGCTCGCTCGGCTCGGCTTCGGCTTCGGCTTCGGATTCGGTCAACGATTGATTGATTAATCTTTTTGGACAAAATTTCTTTCAATTATTTATTTAATTAATTAAATAATTAACTAAGAATTCAATCCGGAATAACCCATGACCCGCGACTCAGTCCGGTCAGGCCCGTTTTCTTTCTCGAATTATTTTAAATCCATTTTCCCGCAATATTTCAAACAACCTGTTCCAACAGCCATGGCTGTTTCTGAAAGGTTGCAAACCTTTTCAAAAATAATGCCAGCAACTCTATAAATATACTTTGAATCCCAGAATCTTTGCTTATGAAATTTTCTGATCTTCTTCTTTTTCTTCTACACAAAAAATTCCAGTGTGTTTTACAGCCTTCGAGTGGCTCGTTGTTCACCGGCGTTTTTGATACCAACACTCCGGTGAGTTAAATCGTTCTATCCTGGGAAGATATATTCCAGCACCTCGGGTACTTGAGGGGAATAATTTTCTTAAGGACACACTGTGTATTCAGTGGGCTCGATTTATTCCTATACTATTTTTTCCAGAATTTATTTCGTTAAACAAATATTACTAACCTTATGTTTTGTTTATATATTTCAGAAATTTTAATGGTTTAATTGTTTATTATAGCAATACAGATTTATAACAATATCGTGGGTTAGCTAGCACACAATCACACACAAAGTAAATAGAGAAGAAAAATCAACACAAAGATTTAACGAGGTTCTGCTAAGTCTAATCCTCGGGGCAGAAGCAGAGAGAGTTTTCCACTATGAATGAGGAGAAAAACACAATACAATATGTAGAATCCCCAACTACAACCCATATATATATATATATCCCAAATAGTACCAAACCTATAAGAAAAATGTTTCCCAATTTGACAAGGACTATATGTTTTCCTTTCCCAAATCTATTAGGACAATGAGTTTTTCTAAACCTATAGGGATTATGAGTTACCTAAAAATACAAGCCACAAAATAACATCAAATAAAATCTTGTTTAACTCTTAATTAATAATAACTACATTGCATCAGGCGAAACATACCAGGTGGCAATCTTTCTAGAAGGATGTCGTTGCCACTGCGTTTGTATGTATGTATGCATCTTTGTCTTTCTTTCTTGCATGTGACGAAAAGGAGAAGTTAATTGTGGTGGAAATCAAGAGACTTCTTGTGCTATTCAATGATTAAACTAAAGGGTGACATTTCACCACACCTCAACCGCCCGGCCTTTCAGCTATTTCTTATGTGCATATGTATAAAGGGGAGACCCCTCTTCACTTCTAAGGCAGTATAATGGAAATGGCTTACTACATAGTGTTATCCTTGTTTGCAGTTACATCAGTAATATATGTGTGGAAGTTGTTGAATTGGGCATGGTTTAGGCCAAGGAAATTGGATCAGTGCCTGAGACAACAAGGTCTCAAAGGGAACTCTTACAAACTAATATTTGGAGATCTCAAAGAGTTGTCCAAAAGTATTGAAGAGGCAAAATCCAAGCCATTAAATGTTTCTGATGATGACATACCCCCAAGAATCCTCCCTTATTTCATTGAAGCTATAAAGAAATATGGTAAGTTTTCAAAACTTAAAAAGAATTAGGGTGTGTTTAGTATGTTTTCCTGGAAAACGAGTAGTTTTATTTCTATTTTCTCATGTTTAGTTGGTGAGTGAAAAACTTTTTCGAGTGGGTGTTGGTGGGGGTGGGGGTGGGGGGTGTTTGTGGGGTGAGGTGGGGAATAGGGGGGAAATAAATTCATGGGAAAAATATTTTTCAAAATATTTAAGCCAATTAAACATAAAAAAGTTAGAATATTTTTCGAAAAATATGTTTCATTCCTACCAAACATACCCTTAATGTAACAAAAAGTTGATGAGCAAGAATGTTGGACTTACCATATATGTTACAGGTAAAAACTCTTTTATATGGCTTGGGCCGAATCCTTTGGTATTTGTAAGGGACCCTGATGTACTAAAGGACGTGCTTACTAAACATTCTCTTTACCAAAAACCAAAATCTACTCCCCTGACAAGGTTGCTGGCACAAGGAATTGTAAGCTATGAAGNACACGCGAGACATGTGGAAGATTTAGTTTAAATGTTAACTGAACACAGTTCAAAAAAATAAAATAATAACACCCTCATCTCCAAGGAAGTTAAAAAATGGTTTAGACTTGTATCGATATCACAAATTTATAATATCAACTTTGCTTTGTTTTTGGTTTTTCTTTTTTCCTTTTTTTTCCTCTCTAGCTTGCAAATATAGCTAGGTTTTCAGGAGAGAATTTTTATAAAATTTCTACAAGATGTAGTTGACTTGTATTAATGAGTGGTTTACAAATGTGTAGCATATGCTTCCAGCAATTCAATTGAGCTGCAGTGAGATGGTGAGCCAATGGAAGGAGGCTGCATCAGTGAAAGGATCCTGCGAACTCGATATATGGCCTTACCTTCAAAGATTGAGTAGTGATGCAATTTCTCGGACAGCCTTTGGGAGCAACTATGAAGAAGGCCGAAAGATATTTGAGCTTCAAAAGGAACAAGCTGAACATGTCATTGCAATTTCTAGCACCTTATATATTCCAGGATGGAGGTAACAAAATGTCCATTTTTCCCGAGTTTAAGTTTTGTATACTGACAGTCACTGCGGAGCTACCCTTATGGAAGGGGTGTCAATTGGTCAAATTTGCGCAGATGTGCATTGGATTATTTGATGGTGATTACATGTATTTGTTTGTTAATTAATGTAGGTTTATGCCAACTAAGAGAAATAGAAGGATGAAGGAGATTGAGAAAGAAGTTCAAGCAACAGTTAGGGGTATCATTGATAAAAGAGTGAAGACAATGAAAGCAGGGGAGGCAAATGCTGATGACTTATTAGGCATATTGTTGGACTCCAACTTCAAAGAAATTGAACAACATGGTAGCAAGAATTTTGGTATGAGTACACAAGAGGTCATTGAGGAGTGTAAATTGTTCTATTTTGCTGGGCAAGAGACCACCTCTGTACTGCTTGTATGGACTATGGTTTTGTTGAGCAGGCATCCAGAGTGGCAAGCTCGTGCTAGAGAAGAGGTTTTGCAAGTCTTTGGCGATGGCATGCTAGAATTTGATGGATTAAACCGCTTAAAAATTGTAAGTTATTTATAATTTACCTTCTTTAATTTCAAAATCTCCACAATATATGGTGTTAGTTCTATTCTGAGGTGGATCTAAGATTTAAGTTTGATGAGTTCAATGTTTAAGGTTCTTAGCACTAAACACATTGTACATTATGGTTCAGAATTTAATATTTGTTGAAATTGTAGTTGTTTTTACATCTATATCTATATTTTGTGTCAAAAATACTGGGTTTAGTTGAACCCCTCGAACATAATCTAGCTCAATCAGCTTCTCATTCTATGTTCTTGCTTTTTTATTACTCTGCTAATTCAATAGTTAACTCCTTTTAACCATAGGTGACAATGATTTTGCACGAGTCGTTAAGGTTATATCCACCAGTTGGAGCGCTTGGTCGAAGGATTACAACTAAAACCAAGTTAGGGGAACTAAATTTACCAGCTGGAGTGATGCTGTCTTTGCCAATGCTTTTAGTGCATCATGACGAGGAAATTTGGGGCGAAGATGCAAAAGAATTCAAGCCAGAGAGATTCAGTGAAGGCGTTTCAAAGGCAACAAAGGGCCAAATGACGTTTTTCCCATTTGGTGCAGGACCTCGGATATGCATTGGGCTAAACTTTGCAATGATAGAAGCGAAGATGGCTATGGCTATGATTCTGCAACGCTTCTCCTTTGAGCTATCTCCATCTTACACACATGCTCCACAGTCTGTAATAACTATGCAACCCCAATATGGTGCTCCTCTTATATTGCACAAATTGTAAGTGTTTAAGACTTACATGAATTGCCTTATCGGATGAATAACTATGTCAAGCAAACATAAGTTTAAGATATTTTGAAACTATGGTCTATGCTTTAATTCGATCACAGGCTAGATTATTCAATTCGCGTTTATTTATGTGGAACAATGTTAAGAATTATCTTAATAATAGTTACAGTGATCTGAGTAAAATTTCTGATGGACACCAACAACTTGCTAAGTACTTCTGTATTAATGTGAAACATTAGATTATTACTTGTATTATAAGTATAATGTACAAGAGTTAAGGAAACAAGAATTTGATATTGCACCTTTCTTCCCAAATATTTGGTTCATGGACATAAGTAACTTAGTATAATTGGAGAAAAGAACGAGAAGAAATCATTACACAATCACTTCAATATTGAGGCACCAAATCCACTGTGAAGGCTATTTGTGTGACCACATACATTATAAGAAGTAACTACTCACTCAGATTTTAAAACAACTATTTCTACGCCACAATCCCAATCCCAAGTAAGTTGAAATCGCTCAGAATTTACAAGTTACGTAATATTACTTGTGCTCCATATTGAGCTTGGAGTGTCACCACAAGAAAAGGAGCATGTGCATAAGATGGGGAAAGTTCAAAGGCGAAATTTTGCAAAAATGTTGCAAGTGCGACTTTAGCTTCCAACATAGCAAAGTTTTGTCCAATGCATACTCGAGGACCATAGCCAAATGGGAAATAACCAAATTTTCCATTTGTTGCACTTGCAACACCTTCACTAACTCTTTCTGGGTTGAATTCATTAGCATCATTGCCCCATATTTCTTTGTCTCGATGCATGAAAAGTGTAGGTATGCAGATTTGAACTCCAGTAGGTAAAGTTATATTTCCCAATTTGGTTGTTTCGTCAAGCACACGTGAAAACATAACTCCTGGTCGATATAGCCTTAGAGTCTCAAGTAGAACCATATTGACCTGTGAAAAGAGTTTATCAGAAAGAGTAGTAGTACTATTTTTGGGACAGTGAAGCAAATGAAAGAAGAACGTTGTTTTAGGAGTGTCAGATGAGCAAGTTGACTACATTTTGGCTAGTTAAAATGGATCGAATCAATGAACATGATGAGTTTCATAATCCGTTCAATATTTTCTTGGATGAATATGGACTGATCAATCTGGACTACTAACTAGTAGGTCATAACCCAACTTGCCTGACTTAAAACCGTTTTTCATTTGTGTATACGGTCGAAATAGATTTCAGCCTTGGCATGTCCGATCGAGTTCGAAGGGTGATGTATCGAAGTAAGATCCCGAAGGGGGGACGAACTAATCTCGAACCCGGGGAGGCCGGTCCGTGTCGAGATCGATATCATAATCAAACTCGAATAAGAATCGAACCATGATGCAGGGTAGACCTATCGTGCTGATAATCCAGAGACCA